TTTCCTTCATAATAATTGGCATTATTGTTTGGACATGTTTTGGTGTGATATCCATTATCTTTTCCACAATATGAACAATATTTTTCGACAAAGGTTTTCTTTTGTCTTCTATTATAGTTTTTGTAAGTTGATTGTACTCTGTTATATGCTTCTTTTCCTTTCCATTTTGGGCATTCTTTTGCAAAATGTCCTATTTGTCCACATGAGTAGCATTTTTCTTTTTGAGGTTGTTCTGTTTGTATATTATTTATTTTTTGGGTTCTTTGGAAATAGTGATTTGTTTTTTCACTTTTAGATTTTTTCATTATATCCATTGTTACTTTTGTTGCTCTAAATAGAGTATTAGCTCTTTTGAAGAAATCTTCTTCATTATTCGGTACTGGGTTTGTTAATGTAATTTGTTGAGCTATATTTTTAGGCATTCTTTCTACTAAATACATGTAGTTTCCTCCAAAGAAGTTTGCAGCCCATTGCCAATTTGATAATTGTTTGAGTTTTTTATATTGGTTGATTTGTTTTCTTAATCCTGAGTCGTCACTCCAGTCTAAATTCTTGTAGAAGTTAAATTTAAGAAATTCTTTTTGGTTTAATGATTGTACTGAGTCTCTTGTGAAGTTTTCATCAAATACGTCTCTAAATCCTTTTTGTGTTGTTGTATCTGTAACATTTGGGTTTATCCTTGTTCCTTCTGCTATTGCAAAAGCATGCCAGTTTCCTGCTGCTTGTAAGTAATTTATTGCTTTTATCAGATAATTTTCTGCATCTTTTAAATCATTTGCGTTATCTAAGTTGGATTTAAAATAACAGTTTATAGTTGCTATTTCTGTGTCAAATACTTCTAATGCATCCTTTTTTAGTTTTGTTCTAATTATTGCAAATACTGTTTGTATTATTTCTGTACTCCACCTGCATTCATATGCGTCTGCTCTTGTTGAATCGTAATTTCTTCCTCTTAGTGTATAACCTTTTTTAGGTGTTTCGAAGTATCTTCCAAATATAATTAAGTCTTCTAATCTTAATGCTTTAAACACATTTTCTAATTGATTTCTCCAATCTCTATATTTTTCAATTGATCCATTGTATTCTGATATTAAGGATGTTAGCCTTTCTAAGTTTTTTGGTAGTTCAAATTCTGTTATTGCTGCCATTATTTAGGTAGTATGGTTGATAATTGTCCTTGGTAAGTACACTGAGTATGTTTTAGCCAATTTTTAACGTTGAATAATTTTCTTGAAATAGTTTCTAAACTTGTTTTGACTTTTAGTCTATTTGCTGTTACTAATGAGTATACTAAATATGTTGTTATTTCTTCGTCAGTTAGATTTTCTGCATTTTCTTCCTCTTCTTCAATATAATTGAAGACTTGTTTTCTATACTCTTTTTTCTTATGATTATAGACTCGTTTTTCTTCTTGTATAGGAATTCTTTTGGTTATTAAATTTCCTTCTATGAATTCTTCAATTTGTTGATCAAATTCTTTAAATTTTTCTTGAAGTTTTATTTTATGTTCGTCTGATAGTGGGTTTGGATATTTGTTAAAGTATTCTTGGAAAACTCTTATATATATTTTGTTTCCAATTTCTTCATAGCTTATAAATTCTTTTGGAATTGTTGTTTAGATAAGTATGGTGCTTTATCTAATATTTTTTCAATGAATTCTTGTAGTTCGTTAAATTCTTTTGCTTTTGTTGCTAAGTATGTTAGTTTTTCTATAGATAAGGTTTCTTGGTTGAATTTCTTTTTGAATTCTAGATATACATATAGGTCTGTTGCTTGATTTACTGTTAGTTTTAGGCTTTGTTTAAGTACTGGTGATACTTCTGTTTTTATTTTAATTTGTTTCGGAATTTCTTTTTCTTTCTTAATTACTTTTGGTTTTTCTTCTAATGCTTTAGTTACTATCTCTTTATATTCTGTTGTTCTTACTATAAGTTTCTTGAGTTTTTCAATATTATCTGGGCAATTCATTTAATTTCTTTTGATGATTTACTAATGCAGTTATTTCTTTTGCTCGTATAATAGTGTTTGCTATTATGGATATAGTTGATATTATAGTAAGTTGTATAGTTTGGTTAAGATATATAAATAGTTTTTCTGATGCTGCTAATACTATAATGATGTTGTGTATCCAAGTTATTGATACGTTTAATGTTGATACTGTATAATCACTGGTTATGATCGTTAGAGTGTTGTCTTGTTGATTATCCACAATTAAGCGTTGTTTCATATTGCGTTAATGCTGTTAACTATTTGTTGTCTCTCAAATTCTTGTTGTTGAACTTGTAGTTCGTTTTGTTTATTTCTGTATCTACAGATTAGTATAGCTGTAGTTATCGCTACTACTATTATGAATATTACTTCTCCTATAAATGTGTCAATTACGTTTGTATCTTGTAGGTATCCTGGTGTTTGTGTTTGGATTATAGATAGTGTTGATGTTGGTGTAAATGTTGCAGTTATGGTACTGATTATTGTGCTAAGTACAGTTGATGGTGTAATTGATATTTGTATTATTGACATGTATTAGTTTCTTGTTCTAAATATTTAGTTAATATTTGATATATTTGGTATAATTCTTTGTATTACTTTCTTTTGGGTATACTGAAGTAAGTTTTGGTTACTCGCTTGCTATTTTTTTTTCCTAAGCTGTTTAAGCTTTGCAATTATAAATATTAATGCTGTTGCTTCTAGTATTACTAGTATTGTAGTTATTCCTTCAAATATTTCTAAGAGTGTGTTATTATTGTTGTCACTATCTGTCATTTATTTCTTTTTGAGAAATTGTAGGTGTTTAGGTTTCTTTGGTATTCTTGGTGAAGCTGTGTTATATGGTATAACAGGTCTTGGTGTTATTCCAAATTGTTGGTTTAACTGTTGTTGTAGTTGGTTATCAAATTGTATTTGTTGTAAAGGTCTTGGTATGATTGGCCTTTGGTGTTGCACGTATGGTATTATTGGTTGTTGGTTGAGTACTTGTGATACTCTTGGTACTATTACTCTTGGTATTCCTTGATGATAGTTAAAGAGTGCAATTGGTCTTAGTGGTGGTCTTTGATAGTTATTGTTTGACATATAAAGTTAGATTATTTAATTAATTATTTATTTTGTTTAACAACAGATT